CCCCAGCCCCCCCACCTGGTCCCTCACTTGGTTCTTACCTGGCCCCAACCCCTCACTTAGTCCCATCCCCCAGACCCCCACCTGGGCTTCACCTGGTCCCTCATATGGCCCTTACCTGGCGGCACCCCCAGCCCCTCACCTGGCGGTGATGGTGACCTCCAAGCCCTTCTGGTTATAGATGTAGTAGAATTTCTCTGCAGGCTCCACTATGACCTCGAAACTGGGCAGCACTGGGGGAGAGACGGCGGCGTCAGTGGGGCCGGCGCTAGGCCTGGTGTCCTGGGCGCTGCCACCCCCTGGCCCCTCCACTTACCATACTCCTTCACCTCAAACTCAGCCGAGAAGACTTGCTGTGGTGAATTTTCATAGAAGGCTTTAATCTTCCACTGGCCCATGCTGTCAAGAGGGAGGATGAGTAGTCTGCTCCAGCCTTGGAGCCCCCCAGGCCCAGCCCAGCTCCCTCTCCTGAAACAGGGGAGCCCTGAGCCCCCTTCTCAAGAGCGCGACATACTTGACGAGTTCTGGAATGTCCCAAGACAAGGGCAAGATGCCAAACTGGTTTTGAGAAGACAGGGAGTCCTGCTTGACGGGGATGCCTTCCGGGTTCTGCAGGAGGAAAGAGGGAAGGATACGGGAGAAAGTCCCTTCAGAGGCTGGGCTTAGCCTCTCAGCTCTCCCTGACCTCTCTGCATCCGGACAGTCTCTGTGCACAGTGTCTACTGTGGTTAAGAACAGGGACCTGCACAGGCATGGTGGCTCAGGCCTGTACCCCAGCACTTTGGGAAGCTGAGGCGGGTGGGTCACCTGAGGTCAGGATCGAGACCACCCTGGCCAACATGGTGAAACCCCGTCCCTACTAAAAATACAAAAATTAGTTGGGCATGGTGGCAGGCATCTGTTAATCCCAGCTACTTGGGAGGCTGAGGCTGGAGAATTACTGGAACCTGGGAGGCAGAGGTTGCAGTGAGTTGAGATTGTGCCACTGCATGCCAGCCTGGGTGACAGAGCGAGACACTGTCAAAAATATAAATAAACAAACAAATCTGAGGCTTGCTCTGTCACCCAGGCTGGAGTGCAGTGGCGAAATCTTGGCTCACCACAACCTCTGTCTCTGTGGTTCAAGCGATTCTTCTGCCTCAGTCTTCCAAATAGCTAGGACTACAGGCACGCGCCACCACACCTGGCTAATTTTTGTATTTTTAGTAGAGATGGGGTTTCACCATACTGACCATGTTGGTCTCGAACTCCTGACCTCCTAATCTGCCCACTTCAGCCTCCCAAAGTGCTGGGATTAGAGGCGTGAGCCACCACGCCCAGCCCAGTAAATTTATTAAGCCCAACTATATACCAGCATTGGGCTGAGTTCAGGTGACAAAACTCTGAACAAATATAAAAATTCCTTCCTGGGTGGAATTTAGGTTCAATAGAGGGCAAGGTGAGGGGAAAAGCAATTATCAAATGAATAAATCTCACTTGCAGGACATGGCAGGAAGGAGGAGTGTGTGTGTGTGTGTGTGTGTGTGTGTGTGTGTGTGAGAGATCAGGGTGGGTATATGCAACTTTATAGGTTACTCGGAGACTTCATTGTAAAATGGAGACATTGATGGCATTTGAGCAAATACTTAGAGGAGGAGAGAGGATGAGCTGTGTGGATAGTTGGAAGAAGAGGGTTTTCTGAGAAGAGGGCACAGCCCGTGCCAAGGTCCCAAGGCATGACTGCACCTGGGGTGTTGGAGGAACATCGAGGAGGCCCGTGTGGCTGGAGCAGAGTGACTGAAGGGGAGAGAGGGAGGAAGGGACGGCAGGGAGGGGATGGGGCAGTTCACGCAGAGCCTTGTGGACTGCAGAGAGGACTTGGGCTTTGACCCATATTAAGGCGGGCGCCATGGAGGGCTGTAGGCAGAGGAGGTGCTCACAGGCGTCCTCTGGCTGCGGGGTCGGTAAAATAGATGACATAGAATTATCTGTCCTGATCCCAATATTCAGATGAAGAAACTGAGGCTCAGGGAGGCGAAGTGACCAGCGGTTTATCTGAAAGCAGAATCCACGGACACCTGCACTGCTCCCTGGGGTCTCCCTGGATCTCCTTCTTGTCTCCTGGCTTGTGTGTTTGTGTGTGTATGTGTCCTATAGTTTATTGTGTGATTGTGTGTTGTGTGTGTTATGTGTTTGTGTGTGTTATGTGATTGTGTTGAGAGTGTGCCATGTGTTTTGTGTGTGTTGTGTGGTTATGTATATTGTGCTGTGTGGTTGTTACGTGTTGTGTATGTTGTGTGTATTGTGTGGTTGTGTGTTTGTGTGTTGTGTGTGTTCTGTTGTGTGTTTGTGTGTGTTGTATGCTGTGTGTGTTGTGTGTGTTGTGTGGTTATATACATTGCATTGTGTGTACCGTGTTGTGTGTGTACTGTGTTGTTGTGTATTGGGTGTTGTACTGTGTGTTGTGTGTTGCGTTGTATGTGTTGTGTGCTGTGTGTGTTGTGTGTGTGCATTGTGTGGGTGCACATGTGTCTACATATCTCTTTGCTCTGTGTCTGTGTGTGTGTGTGTGTTGTGTGCTGTGTGTGTGCATTGTGTGGGTGCACATGTGTTTACACATCTCTTTGCTCTGTGTGTGTGTGTTGTGTGCTGTGTGTGTGTGTGTTGTGTGCTGTGTGTGTGCACTGTGTGGGTGCACGTGTCTACATATATCTTTGCCTCTGTGTGTGTTGTGTGCTGTATGTGTGTTGTGTGTGTCACACGTGTGTCTGCACATCTCTTTGCCTCTGTCTCTGCCACTGCACCTCTCTGGTGCGTCTTTCTCTGTCTTTCTCCATCTCTTTGCCTGTCCTGAGCCTACGCCCTTGCTGCCCCTGGGGCCCCCCCTGGCTGGTACCTCAATGTTGACCACGACCGTCCGGCCCACGGGTAGCAGCTTGTGGTTGACGGTGTAGATCCGACAGAGAACTGGAAGGCAGTGGAACAGACAGGAAGGCCTGGTGAGACCCCGACCCGCCCACGCCGGTGCCCCGGCCTCTCCAGCTGCCCCCGGCCTCACCTGTGGAGCCGGGGGTGTAGATGGTCTTGTCCGTCTGGATGAAGAGGTACCCACTCTGAAGGCTGACTAGCACCACCTTCTCCACCACGTTGGCCCCGAAGGACGCCTGGACGGTCACGAACTTGTTTTGCCCCTTCTTGTCTGGCTTGAGCTCCTTGTTGGCGGGAATCTAGGCGTGGGCAGGGCATCGTCAGGGGTCTGTTCCAAGGCCCCGTGACCACAGTCCAGCTTCAGGATCTTGGGCTGGGTCCCTCCTTGCCTGCCCCAGTTTTGGAGGGGGGGGGCATGTGAAGGAGGTGCGAGGGAAGTTGGGGGGGATCCGGGAGGGGACTCAGAAGGGAGGGCTCACAAGGAAGAGAGAGCTTATAGGAGGAGGGGTTCAGAAGGGGCGGGGACTCAGGAAAGGGGAGGGGCTGAGGTGGAAAGGTCTCAGAAAGGGGAGGGACTCGGGTGAGGAAACTTAGGGGTGGAGACTGCGAGGGGAGGGATTCAGAGGAGGAGACTTAGAGGGGGAAGAGCTTAGAAAAGGAAGAGATTCAGTGGGAGGGACTTAGAAGGGGAGGAGACTCCGAAGGGGTGGGGTCTCAAAGAAGGGAGGGGTTTAGAAAGGGGAGGAGACTCCGAAGGGGCGGGGTCTCAGAGAAGGGAGGGGCTTAGAAGGGGAGGAGACTCAGGGAGGGGCGGGGTCTCAGAGAAGGGAGGGGCTTAGAAGGGGAGAAGACTCAGAGAGGGGTGGGGTCTCAGAGAAGGGAGGGGCTTAGAAGGGGAGGAGACTCCGAAGGGGTGGGGTCTTAGAGAAGGGAGGGGCTTAGAAGGGGAGGAGACTCAGAGAGGGTGGTGTCTCAGAGAAAAGCAGGCTTAGAAAGGAGTCTCATAAGGGGTGGAGACTCAGGGAAGGGCAGGGCTTAGAAGGGAAGAAGACAGAAGGGGAGAGGCCCAGAAGGAGGGGGAGTGGGTGTGGCTGTGGGTGCCAGCTGGGTCTGCTCCAGTCTGCACCCACCCTGATGGTGACGCTGCCTATGTGGCTGGTGGCAGGGGTCAGCACGGTCTTCTCATTGGACAGCACTAGTTTTTTGCCTGGGAAGTCGTGGACAGTGACAGTGACCGGAACATCCCCATTCACGTCGTGGGCCTCCAGCACCACGGTCTCCTCGCTCTCCAGCCGCAGAATGTTGGGGGTGATGATAGAGTACCTGTCGGAGTGGGGCACGGGAGTGGCGCTGTCATTCCAGGGAGACTCCAGTTCTCACCGGAGTCAGCGCCTGGCAGGCTGTGTGCCCCAGACCCTGGTCCTGGAGAGGATCCAGTGACTGCCGGCCCGCTCGCCCATCCCAATATCCAGGTCCAAATTCTTCTCTGGGCACTGCCACCGTCTCAACCACATGGGCAGGACAGCAATCACCGTGACTCCCGCTCTCAGCCAGCTGGGCCTGGCCTTTGAAAGCCTGGGCAATGAGGGGGCATGCACCCCACCAACCCCTGAATCTCCAAGCCTCCAGACTTCCGGACCCACAATTGCCTAAACCCACACAGGCCCCAAACCCTAAACCTCTGCATCTCTAAACACTCCAAATATGTAAACACCCCCAAATATGCAAACACCCCCAGACACCCTAAACTCTACATACCCAAACCCACATTCACCAAAACCTCTAAAGCTCAAATCCTAGAGCACTGCAAACCTAAGCCAAAACTTCCAGCACCCCAGTCCTATAAATACAACCAGTTCCAAACTCCCCAACCCTACAGGAGCCCAGGGTAGCCAAACTCTAAACCTACACCCAAGCTGCAGACTCCCAAACCTTGTGAAGTCCAAGCCTCGGAGTCTCCCTCACCCAACCACACAACCACTAAACACCCATACACCCTAAACCAACAGATGGCCTCAATTCTAGAAACATCTCAACCCCCAGTTCCACAATACCTGGATTCCACAAACACCCAACCCATAAACACCCGAAATCACAGGCAGCCCAAATTTATATAAACCTGCTAACCCCTGAATCCACAAACACCCAAATGCACCCTGAATTCTACAGGGACCTGGACCCCCAGATGCCTGCTTCCATACTTGAAGCAGTAACCACTCACATGGGACTCCCCAGAGCCAGGGGGAGGTGGGTTAGTAGCAGGAGCAGGAGGCCGGGACCTGAGACAGGCCCCATAGTGCTGGGACAGTGCAGGGACAGAGGGACAGAGGGACAGAGGGAGAGGAAGGGGAGGAGTGAGCAGCGCCAGCTGGAGCTGGCTCTTTATCCGGCCCCTGCCTTTCCCCCACTCAGCCCCTCCTTCTCCCTGTGGCCTCTCCCCTTTCTGGGGCTGCCCCAGATTTCTCAATACCATTTCCTAAGATTTTCAGTCCCTGGGGCCAACATGCCCGTGGGGTGTGTAACCTGAGGGCATGCTCCCCAGCAGCATGAACGTTGTTACACCCTGCCCTGGACTCTCCCAGGGTCAGGGCCAGCTGGTGAACACAAAGCTTTCTCTGTTGCACCCACTTTGTAGTGGAAGAGCACTAAAGTCTGGAGAACCCCCCACTGCAGATGTCTTGGGCCTCATCCCCAGTTCACTTTTGGCCATGCATTTATCAATCAAACCATTCCTAGGAATTTCTCTGTAGGCTGGGAGCCAGAGCCTTACTTCCAGAGGCTTCCATGCTGAGGGAGGGGAAGTAGGATGGGGGAGGGACGGAGTGCAGCACAGAAGTTCCCAGTCTCATGAAATGTTTTCTAGCTCATGTGCAGTGCAGGAGAAAAAAAAAAAAAAAAAAAAAAAAAAAGTGTTTTCCGCAGTGAAATAGAATGCTGCTTCTTGGAGGGTCAGGGAAAACCTCCTGCAGTAGGGTCCCGCTTCAGATGGGCTTTGAGGTATATGTAGGAGTTCACTATCCAGTTGAGCTCATTTTCCAGGGAAGCTCCCCTCACTTACCCTTGTGGGATGCCTGAGTGACTTTGGTGGTGAAAAAAGCCATCACTGAGAAAAGTCCTCATTTCCAGCTTTTGTACCTGTCTTATGTCAGCATCCTGTTAGGACATTATTAAATTGTATTGTGTGTGTGTGTGTCTGTGTGCATAATATATTCATATGGATCAGCATCTAAAAGGTATGACTGTGTATAGAGGGGAAGGTAGTTTTCCTCCCACCCCTTTTGACGGCATATTCTTTTTGCTTTTTCCTTTTTAACATCTTTTTCTCACTCTGTCACTCAGGCCAAAGTGCAGTGGTGCGATCACAGCTCACTGCAGCCTCAACCTCTTGGACTCAAGTGATCCTCCTGCCTCAACCTCCCTAGTAGCTGGGACTCCAGGTGCCTGCCACCACCATGCCCAGATAATTTTTTTATTTTTGTGGAGATGGAGTCGCAAGACGTTGCCCAGTCCGGTCTTGAACTCCTGGGCTCAAGTGATCCTCCTATAGAAGCCTCGCAAAGCGCTGGTGCAAACCACTGTGCCCTGAGCATGGCACATTCGACACTGTTCTTCCCAGTCTCTTCAGTTAAATCTTGGGTTTTTTTTGCTTTTTATTTTTTTAATGAACAATATACCTCAGAGATTGTTCCACCTCAGTGCACAAAGAACTTCCTCATTCTTACAGGTTACAGACCTCTTCTTATATTGTGAGAAAGCAACCAGCCTCCTTTTTTTTTTGTGGGGGGGGGGGCGATTATCTGGTTGCTTTTTTTCATTTGACAGTCTTGCTCTGTCGCCCAGGCTGGAGTGCAGCACCCTCTCAGCTCACTGCACTCTCCGCCTGCCGAGTTCTAGCGATTCTCCTGCCTCAGCCTCTCAAAGAGCTGGGATCACAGGTGTGCGCCACCACGCCCAGCTTTTTTTTTTTTCTTTTTGTATATTTAGTAGAGACGGGGTTTTGCCATGTTGGCCAGGCTGGTCTCAAACTCCTGACCTCAGGTGATCCGCCCACCGCCGCCTCCCAGAGTGCTGGGATTATAGGTGGGAGCCACCACACCTGACCGCCCGCTGTCATTTTAACTGGCATCCTCTGATGGCCAGTAGCATTGCTGTCCGGGGATAGGAGGTGGATGGTAAAGGGAGGAGAATGGTACATGGGTGGGGTCCCCTTACCACTGGAGAGGTGGTGTCTGAAACTCCATGGAAGGAGTTAATGGGGAGTTTTCTCTGATTTCCTGTAAACCACGTTCTTTCCTGTGCCAGGGCGAGGGGGAGGAATGGAGCGTGAGAACAGACCTGGCGTCCGTCTGCACTGATTGCAACACACTCTTTGGAAGAGGAGGAGGAAGGAGAATGCAAACACCTGCTTGCTCTCCAGAATTAGGGTTCAGCTTTTGAGACTGCAACCCCTGGCCAGGTGCAATCGCTCACGCTTGCAATCCCAGCACTTTGGGAGGCTGAGGCGGGCACATCACCTGAGGTCAGGAGTTTAAGACCAGCCCGGCCAACGTGGTGAAACCTCATTTCTACTAAAAATACAAAAATTAGCCAGCCGTGATGGCAGGCATCTGTAATCCCATCTACTCAGGAGGCTGAGGCAGGAGAATCGCTTGAACCTGGGAGGTAGAGGTTGCAGTGGGCCGAGATCGTGCCATTGCCCTCCAGCCTGGGTGACAAGAGTGAGACTCTGTCTCAAAAAAAATTAGCTGGGCATGGTGGCATGTGCCTGTAATCCCAGCTACTCAGGAGGCTGAGGCAGGAGAATTACTTGAAGCTGGGAAGGGTCTGGCCCTACTGTGACCTCCAAGAAGTGACCAGAGGGGAGTGGCAAGATGAGATGTGAGAGGGTCGAAGGCTGGAGTGGATCATAGCCTGCTAGGAGGGAGGGAGGCGAGCTGGGGAATTCTTTAGAAGCTCATGACTTTTGTCTGGGAGATGTGCATTTGTGTCGAGGTTTGGGAGGGGGAAGGTACACAAAGATGAGCCAGCAGGGGAGGGAAAGAAGGAGATCTGGGTGTGTAGAGGGTACTTTCCATTTGCAGGTCCACCCAGCCCAGCATTCCAGAAAGCAAGGGAGGGAGAGAGGGAGAGTACGGCCACGTGGGCTGACCATTCATGGGTTATCTGGGAGCTACGTATACTGAAAAAATATTTGTTATTTATCTGAAATTCAAATGTAACCGAGCGTCCTGAATTCTGTTGGGCAACCCTAGCTGGGGTGCAAGGCGAAAATGTCGCCCAGGCTGGAGTGCAGCACTTCCGGGAAGCCAAGGTGAGAGCATCGTTTGAGCCCTGGAGTTCAAGACCAGCCTGAGAAATACAGTGCAACTTTGTCTCTACAATTAAAAAAAAAAAAAATTAGCAGAGCATGGTGGCAGGCCTGTAGTCCCAGTTCCTTGGGAGGCTGAGGCAGGAGGAGTTAGAGGCTGCAGTGAGCTCTGACCACACCATTGTCCCAGCCCGGATGATGGAGCAAGACTCTGTCTCTAAAAAAAAAAATAAAATAAAGGAAAGGGTGGGGTGTGGTGGCTCACACCTCTAATCCCAGCACTTTGGGAGGCTGAGGCTGGTGGATCACGAGGTCAGGAGACCAAGACCATCCTGGCTAACATGGTGAAACCCCATCTCTACTAAACATACAAAAAATTAGCCGGGCGTGGTGGCACGCAACTGTAGTCCCAGCTACTCGGGAGGCTGAAGCGGGAGAATCGCTTGAGCCCAGGAGGTGTAGGTTGCAGTGAGCCGAGATCGCACCGCTGCACTCCAGCCTGGGCGACAGAACGAGACTGTCTCTAAATAAATAAATAAAAAGACAAAGAAAAAAGAAAGAAAATGAGAGGAAGGAAGCGGGAATGATCGTTGGGTGGGGACCCAAATAGCCCTGCTTCACACCTGCCTGGGTTTACTTACAACCCGCTACACCCCATCCCTTCCCCGCGACAGAGGGAGCAGCTGGGAAGCCCCTTATCCCACCGTCTAATTCCGGGTTGAGGTGCCTGCTTTCCTAGAATTTTTCTCCAGGACCCAGAGCCAGGCCCTCCCCTCTGCCACCCCATTACTGATTAATCCAAGTTAACCTTGACCTGGCTGAACCAATCTAACTGCCTGCTGATAATGGCTCTTTCCCTCCTCTCCCTCTCGTACACTCTGCAGAAAGAAGCGGGGCCCTGGGTACTCCCACTCTGGGAAAATGGAGAGCACTGGGTTTTGATTCCAGCTCTGCGGGGCCCCTAGGCAGGTCTGACCCCTCCTCCAAATCAGTTCCTAATTTGTCAACTGGAGATCACAGCCTAGAGCCTCCTTTCTAGTCTTGTAGTGAAAGTCCCGAGTAGCACCAAGGGCTGCTTAGCCCGGCGCCCCGCACATACTGAGGGCTCAGTACACTTGAACTGCATTTTTTCTTTTTTGAGAAAGAGTCTCGCTGTTGTTGCCCCCGGGCTGGAGTGCAATGGCGCGATCCCGGCTCACTGCGACCTCCGCCCCCCGGGTTCCAGCGATTCTCCTCCTTCACCCTCCCAAGTATCTGGGACTACAGGTACACACCATCACCCCCAGCTAATTTTTTTTTTTTTTTGAGACGGAGTTTCGCTCTTGTTGCCCAGGCTGGAGTGCAATGGTGCGATCTTGGCTCACCGCAACCTCCCCCTCCTGGGTTCAGGCAATTCTTCTGCCTCAGCCTCCTGAGTAGCTGGGGTTACAAGCACGCGCCACCATGCCCAGCTAATTTTTTGTATTTTTAGTAGAGACGGGGTTTCACCATGTTGACCAGGATGGTCTCAATCTCTTGACTTCGTGATCCACCCACCTCAGCCTGCCAAAGTGCTGGGATTACAGGGGTGAGCCACCGCGCCGGCACCCGGGTAATTTTTGTATTTTTAGTAGACGGGGTTTCACCATGTTAGCCAGGCTGGTCTCAAACTCTTGATGAACTGCCTTTTTACTTTTGCTAACACCCGCGTCTTCTCCCCTAGCCTTGCTTGGGTGAGGGCCCTACCAGGCCTCCAAGCTAGGCTCCTCCCTTCCTCTCATTCCCTGAATTCACCTGCTGGCCAAGCCCCTGCCCGGAATCTCCCAGCTCCTCCTCCCTCTCCACCACTGTGATCTCTGTCCTGACCTCTGCCCCAGCCTCCTCACCAGCCTGTTTACTCCGCAGCAGCTGGGGACTATTTTTATTTTATTCTTTTAAAAGCAGGGTCTGGCCCTGTCGCCCAGGCTGGAGTGCAGTGGTGTGATCACAGCCCACTGTGGCCTCAAACTCCTGTGCTCAGGTGATCCTTCTGCCTCAGCCTCCCAAGCAGCTGGGATTACAGGTGCACATCACCATGCCTGGCTTGGGGGCTCCTTTTCTAAAACCCACCTTTGGGCCGGGTGCGGTGACTCACAGCTATAATCCTGGCACTTTGGGGGGCCGAGACAGGTGGCTCACTTGTGGCCGGGCGTTCAAGACTAGCCTGGCCAACACGGTGAAACCCTGTACCTACTAAAAATACAAAATTAGCCAGGCGTGGTGGTGGGCGCCTGTAATCCCAGCTACTTGGGAGGCTGAGGCAGGAGAATCACTTGAACCTGGGAGGCGGAGGTTGCGATGAGCTGAGATCGTGCTATTGCACGCCAGCCTGGGTGACAGAGCGAGACTGTCTAAACAACAACAAAAACCCCACCTTTGTATTCCTTTGACAATCATCATGTATAATACACGAATGGGCACTCATGTTCACAAACGCCTATGAGATGCTAGCGGTGGCATCTTATCTATTTCATGTACTTTAACCCTTGTTTACGCCACATGCCATAGGTAGTATCATTGCCCCACTTTACAGATGAAGAAACAGAGGCTTCTGCCGTTTGTCCAAGATCCTGCAGCGGATAAGTGCCGGCATCTGAACTCAGGCAGCTGGGCTCTCTAGAGCATGTGCTCTTAAACTGCATGAGTTCTTAACTGCTGCAGCAACAGATTACTGTACATTTGGTGGGTTAAAACAACACGTTTATTCTCTGACAGTTCTGGAGGTCAGAAGTGTAAAATGAAGGTGTCAACAGGACTGCGTTCCTTTCTGGAGGAAACAGGTGAATCCGTTTCCTTGCCTTGTTCATCGTCTAGGAGCCACCTGCATTCCATGGCTCGTGGCCCGTTCCTCGGAATCACTGCAGCCTCTGCCTTTGTCACTGCGTCTCCTTCTCTAACTCTGACCCTCCCACCTCCCTCTTATAAAGACCCCTGTGACAATATTGGGCGTGCCCAGATAATCCAAGATAATCCCCCAATTTTAAGAAACTTAATCCCACTCACAAAGTCCCTTTTGCCACATGACAGAATACATCCACAAGGCCTTGGGATTCGGATGTGCGCATCTTTCTTTCTTTTTTGTTTTTTGAGACAGGGTCTCGCTCTGTCACCCAGGCTGGAGTACAGTGGTGTGATCATGGTTTGCTACAACCTCTGCCTCCCGGGTTTAAGCAATTATCCTGCCTGAGCCTCCCGAGTAGCTGGGATTACAGGTGCTCACCACCACGCCCAGCTAATTCTTGTATTTTTTAGTAGAGATGGGGTTTCTCTATGTTGGCCAGGCTGGTCTCGAACTCCTGAGAAGTGATCCACCTGCCTCAGCTTCCCAAAGTGCTGGGATTACAGGTATGAGCCACAGCGCCAAGCTGGATGTGCACATCTTTTGAGGGGACCATGACTCAGCCGACTGCAGCATGCACATGGAGTCAAACATCTCTCTCTGGCCGTGCTCCTCCCGTTTTACATTCCTCCACGGCTCCCGTGGACCCCTGCATGAAGCCCCATGTGCCTGCCTACCTTTAGGACTCTGCCAGCTTCTCTCGCCTTCCTCCTGCCCCCCCTCCAGCCTTGCAGGCCATCCCAGGCTTCCCCACCTTGTTCATGTAACTTCCCCAGGCGGCAATGCCCCCCACTTCCTTCTTCGTCTGACCAGGCTATGTATTCATCTGGGCTCCAGCTATATTTGTTTCTGCTTACAGGAAGACTTTGCCCCAGCCCTGTTCCTTGCCGCTGTACTGTGCTTGTGGCCTTCAGCAAGCAAGGCATGGCTGAGCTCCAAAAGGCATTGTGGGTGCCTTTTGTAGTTGAAGGGCGGGTGGGCGGGAGGTGGAGACCCACCTTGGGAGCCTGCCCTTACGCATGTGCACAAGTGGATCTTGAATTCTGCAGTTGCCCCTCGAGATTCAGGGCTGGTCCCCTAGATGTCCGGCTGAGGCTGTAAAGCTGGGTGCTGTGTCAAGCCACTGATACCTGCTATAGTATGTGAGATACTCAACAAACTTAGGAGGCCCCATGTTATGTGCAAGGAAACGGTTGGTAAGCCAGTGATCAAGGGTCACACAGCAAATGCCAACAGGCTGAGGTTTCCTCCCAGAGAGTCTAGCTACAGAGCAGCAATGAGCAGTCAGTGTCTGGCTTTGAGCCCTGAGTCTCCCACTCACTCATTAGCTGTGTGACCTCAAAAAGGTTTCTTGGGGCTGGGCACGGTGGCTCACGTCTGTAATCCCAGCACTGTGGGAGGGCCAAGGCGGGCAGATTGCCTGAGGTTGGGAGTTTGAGACCAGCCTGACCAACATGGAGAAACCCCGTCTCTACTAAAAATACAAAATTAGCCAGGCATGGTGACATATGCCTGTAATTCCAGCTACTCAGGAGGCTGAGGCAGGTGAATTGCTTGAACCCAGGAGGCAGAGGTTTCAGCGAGCAGAGATCGAGCCATTGCACTCTAGCCTGGGCAACGGGAGTGAAACGCCATCTCAAACAACAACAAAAAGGGCTTTATACCCTGCTGCTCATAGGCTTTTTAACAAATTAAAATCCATGGAAGCTTTAATATACAGTGTGGCGTAGCAATCATTCTGCATTTTCTTGTATTACTATTTTTTCTTTTCTTGAGATGGGGTCTCACTATGTTGCCCAGGCTGGTCTTTAACTCCTGGGCTCGAGTGATACTCCTGCATCAGCCTCCCGAGCAGCTGCAGTTACTCCATGCACTTGTCACCATGCCCGATTAGCTTCTGTTATTACTGTTTTTGAGACGGAGTCTTGCTCTGTTGTCCAGGCTAGAGTGCAATGGTGCAATCTTTGCTCACTGCAACCTCTGCCTTTCTGGCCCAAGTGATTCTCCCATTTCAGCCTCCTGAGTAGCTGGGATTATAGTTGCCCGCCACCACACCAGACTAATTTTTGTATTCTTAGTAGAGTTGGGGTTTCACCATGTTAGCCAGGTTGGTCTTGAACTCCCAGCCTCAAGGGATTCGTTTGCCTCAGCCTCCCAAAGTGCTTGGATTACAGGTACCCACCACTGCACCCAGCCTATTCTTTCTTTTCCTCTGTAGCCCGAGCCACCTGGGGGGTCTTCAAATCCCCATTCTCCCCTCGCCCCCAGCATTCATGCACGCGGTTCCCTCATCTGGGCATGAACTCTTCCGCCATGTTTCTGCTGACTTTTCCTGATCCCCAAGGCTGGGTCAGGGCCCTGTGCTGACCCTGTCAGAGGGACGATGGCTCAGTGATGGTGCTGCCAGGTGACCTGTCCCTCTGCCTGACCCCCACCGTGGACACTGGGAGCCCCTCGAGGGCTGGGACCAGGTGGGTCTTGGTCACTGCTCTGACCCCAGCGCCTGGCATTGGGCCCTGCATGCAGTGGTTGCTCAATGGATATTTACTGAATGTGCAAAGCCGTGAACCCTGTGCCCGCTCCCGCTCCACCACACACAGCAAAAACAGGTTTCTACATTTTACAATTTTACACGATCTCTGTGTAGACCTCAATCCCCAAAAAGGCAAGACACCAGCGTAGCAAAACGGATTGGTCATTATTGTACATATAGCTGGAAGGGAGTGGTGGTCCCGGGGTGAGGACAGGGCTGCCCAATACTTTCGGGGAGGAAGGGGCTCTTCTTCCAACTGGGCTTGTTGGGGAACTGGGTTCCCGGGGAGCTGGGCGCCTGGTCCACATGGACCCCCTCCACCTCCCCACATACGCTGTGGAAGAGGGTCAGGAGTGAGAAGCGCTGGGGGAGGAGGACCCTTTGGTCTGAGATGTGGAGTGATCACAACAGTTCCCGCCCGCTGGCTGTTTTGTTGACTTTGGAGAGGCCTTCCTGGAACCCAGAGTCCGTCATTCTAGGGGCAGACAGCAAGGAGGTCGTCCATTGCCAGCGCCAAAGAGCACCAGGCCCCACCCACTCTACACAGAACCACTCAGGCCCCGCCCCCCCAGCAGCTCTGGCCTCGCCCACTCTACCCCAGACCCATTCCGCCCCCGCCCACCCCACCCCACCCCACCCCACAGCAGCCCAGGCCCCATGCATTCTACTCCAATAACCTAAGCCCCACCCCCCATTCCCAGAGTAGCCCTGGCCCCGCCCATTCCACCTCCCAGCAGCCCAGACCCCACCCATTCTACACCAACCACTTAGGCCCCGCCCACCCCACCCCCAGGGCCAGCCTAGCAGTCTCCCTAGCGGCCCTAACCCCACCCCCAGCTTAGCCTGGCCTCAGGCACTCCACAGAGGTCCAGTCCTCACCCGCAGAGCTGCCCTGGCTGCCCTCATCTCCCCTCCAGTCCTCCTCAACACCAGCCTCTGCCGGAACACTGCCCCCAGGCCTGCTGCGGTCCCTGCCCCTGGGCCACCCTGCCCGTAGAACTGCCCACCCCCCACTCCACCCCCGGAGCTGCCACCCTGCCCACTGTGCCCGGGCTCACACTTGCTCCATCTGGACGTCCTCCTCGTCCTCCTGGGGCAGCTGCAGGTACGGGTTGTCTCCTGCGGGCTGGAACTTGTAGCCCGTGAGCACGAAGAAGGCCAGGGTGGAGCCCTCCACCAACAGCTGGGGGCGGGACAGGGCAGATGGGGGCGTCAGGCGCACCCCGCCTCCACCGTGGCTGCCCTCCTGTCCCACTTGGGCCTCGGGCTCACCTGGTACAGCCACTGCCACTGGAAGGGCACAGCCACCCGCAGCAGGATGGCGATGATTCGCGTGAAGTAGACGTAGCAGATGACCTGCAGGGGCGGCGCAGGTATGAAGCCAGGACTGCAGGACCTCGGGCCAGGGCGCCTGGTACGGGCCTCAGGATGGGGCTGGGGTGGGCGCACAGCAGGCCAGTGGTCCCCCCGTTCCCTTCCCCCCACCACCGTGAGTGAGTCGGGCTCCTACCATGACATAGTAATGCCGGAACAGCTTCAGCTTGGCCAGGTTCACTGCCACTGAGGGTGGGGGTGGGCACAGAGACAGGGGTCAGGGGAGACTGAGGGTGGGAGGGAGGGGAGGGGCACTGGGGGAGGGGACAAACAGGACATCTGAGGGAGTGTCCAAGGAGCAGAAAGTCTGGAGGTGACGTTAGGGGCGTAGAAAGGCCGAAGGGGGAGATCACAGAGGAGGAAAGGGCCACCCAATGGGGCAGAGAAGCCAGATGGGGGCATTCAGGAGAAAGAGAATACAGACTGGGGTGTCCAGGGAGGCAGAGGCCTGGGGGCTGGGCAGAGAGGCCAGGAGGGGTGTCCTAGGGGCAGAATGAAGGGCCAGGGGCAGGAAGGGGGCATGAACGGAGGGTCCGAAGGCTCAGGGCCTCACCCTTCCCGTCTGTGCCAGATGCGTCCTGGAGATGCCGGATGGACCTGGGACAGGTGGGGGACACAGGGTGTGGTCAGTGAGGGCATCGCCCATGGGCATGGGGCAGGGCCTCAGCCTGGGGGCAGGGTCCTCACCAGACGACGGGGAAGAGGATGGCGCCGCAGCAGATGAGGTCCACCAGGAACAGAATCTCCTTCCACAGCCCATAGTCACTGGCGCCCTCCTCTCGGGACTCGATGATGATATAGGCCACGTTGGCCAGGACCTGCGCGAGCGGCGGGGTTGGGTGGGCACTGCCCGGCCCGCTTCCCTCCACACCCACCACCCCCTTCAGCCCTCCCCCGCTCCCTGCTCCATCCGCACCTGCAGGGGGATCACGATCCCAAAGACCTTCTTCTCCTTATCCGACAGGACGTACTTGATGAAGGCCCAGCCTGAACCAATCAGGGCAATGGTGATGAAAAGGAGGGCGCCCTTCAGCCTGGGGGAGCAGGGGAGGGCGTGATGATGTGGCGGGGGCCCGCCCTTCCCTGACCGCCTCCCCAGCTACACAGAAGGGCAGGCACTCACAGGTGCGTGATATAGTGCATGACGGCGAGGCCTTCGATGGGGTGGCCCTGGCTGTTGATGAAGTAGTAGTTGATCTGGGGGTGGACGGACAGACGGACAGTGAGGCGGACAGAGGGGCAGGAGGATGGTGATGGAGGTGTGGGATTAGGAACACGGACCATCACAACCAGATGGGTGGTCAGAAAGCTGAATACTGAGGATGGTGCATAGGACTCAAAAATGGTAATCAGGGCTGAAAACATGGAGGGAACGGTCACAGTCGGCGGGGCGAATTGTTGGACAATCAATGAGGTGGACAGTCACAGCTGAACCAAGGGACAGTAGTGGACAGAGCTGCCCAGAAGGACTGGTGGACAGACAGAGGGGATGGGCGGCTGGCCACATTGGCAAGATGGGTGGACACGTGGATAGCTGGCAGATGGCCCTCCCACAAGCCCAGGGTCTGCAGAGATGGGGGATGGCCCGGATGGTCTCTTCCAGCCCACCCCCGCCACTCCCTGGTCCAAGGCTCTCACGCTGTGGAAGAGGAGAGAGATACTCTTGGTGAAGGCCAAGGCCGCCATGAGCCAGTGGATCTTGAAGACGCTGTACCTGGTGGGAGGGTCAGGGAGAGATGGGGGTGGGGGCATCAGCCGGGGATACAGATGGGGGTCTGGTAAAGGGAAATGGGGGACCCCCAGGGGCAGGGGTATTACGTGTTCCTGCAAAGGATGGACACCCAGAAGATGCCAGCAGCCAGAAAGCAGGCAGACATGACCATGTAGAGCTTGAAAAGGGGCATCTCTGCCGCTGACAGGAAGCCGTCGGGGTTCTTCTCCCGGATCATCACCTGGGGAGGAGGCAGTGGTGGGTGGCGGCGGGGACACAGCCCTGCCTCTGGCCTTGGAGGGCAGTGAGTGAGGGTCTCCAGCTCTCCCGCTTTTTTTTTTTCAGACGGAGTTTCACTCTGTCACCAGGCTGGAGCACAATGGCACGATCTCGGCTCATTGTAACCTCTGCCGCCCAGGTTCAAGCGATTCTCCTGCCTCAGCCTCTGGAGTAGCTGGGATTACAGGCATGTGTCACCATGCCCAGCTAATTTTTATATTTTTAGTAGAGATGGGGTTTCACCACGTTGGCCCGGATGGTCTCGATCTCTTGACCTCGTGATCCGCCTGCCTCAGCCTCCCAAAGTGCTGGGATTATAGGCATGAGCCACCATGCCCAGCCAGCTCTCCCACTTTCTACTGGGCCTCAGTTGGCCCCATCTCCTGAATGGGTGTAACAGCTCCCACTTCACACCTGGGGGGGCTGCAAGAAGCTAAGCAGGGTGTGGTGCTCCTGGCCCGAAGTGGGTGCTCCCCGGCACTGCTGCCCTCCCCTCCGCTCACCGTGATGTCGTATGGATGCTCCTTTCCTGGCACCGAATTGTTGCAGTTGTGGAAGTTCAGGCTGTACTGGCCTTCCTCTGCCTGAGAGCCAATCACCACATGGAACTGGGTGGGGGGAGAGAGGAGGGCTCAGCTTGGGGGTCGCTTGCTCTGGGGTGATGGCAGGGCCGCAGGCACCAAGGAACTCACACTGAAGTTGTAGTAGTTGTTCAGGTGGCTCAGGCCCAACACCAGCTCCTTGTTCTTCCCGCTAGGACTCTGAAGGGACAGACCCCTCCATCAGCTGGCGCTGGGTCCCTGTGGCCCCTGGGGTGTGCCTTCTTCCCTCCTGCCCCGCCTCCCCCAAACCTGAGACACTGTGGGTGTTGACTTGGGCTTGCTGGTCGTAGAGGTCCCTGGAAAAGACCAGGGAGTGATTTTCAGAGAAGGGTTGCTAGAGGGATGGCGGGAAAATGGAACGGCGGGTGGAGAGGGCAGACCTGCCCATCCACCCCTGCCTGCATAGCCAGGCTGACTCACCACTATCCACCTTGCGGGGTACTGTGGGCTCTGGCTTCGGGAGCCCTGGTTCAGAGGGCACATCGGGGAGGAGCCCGGGAAAGATGAATAACTTCTTCTGCTCTCCATATTTCCGCACGTGGACCCTGGGGTGAGGGGTGGGGCGGGGAATGAGGCTGGGGGCTGAACCTGGGGTCAGGCACACAAGCTGGGGCAAAAGACTCAGTGGCCTCTGGGACCCTCTGCGTGTCTTCCCTGCAGGGCGGGATCCAGCCAAGTCAGTTATCACTGAGTTTCAGCATTTGGTTCCCACCGGTCAAGGCGGCTGCCGCCTTCACATGCTGCCTGCACCAGCAATTATTTGTCATTTCCCATGGCATCAATCTACTCTTTTTCTCTTTTCTTTAGAGACAGGGTCTTGCTCTGTCACCCAAGCTGGAGCACTGTGGTGCAATCACAGCTCAGTGCAGCCTCAAATTCCTGGGATCAGGCAATCCTCCCACTTCAGCCTCCGGAGGAGATGGACCACAGGCACACGCCACCAGGCTTGGCTAATTTTTTATTTTTTGAGACGGAGTCTCACTCTGTTGACCAGGCTGGAGCCCAGTGGCATGATCTCAGCTCACTACAACCTCCGCCTCCCAGGTTTAAGCAATTGTCCTTCCTCAGCCTGCTGAGTAGCTGGGACTACAGGTGCGTGTCACTGTTCCCGGCTAATTTTTTGTATTTTTAGTAGAGACAGGGTTTCACCATTCTAGCCAGGATGGTCTTGATCTCCTGGCCTTGTGATCTGCCTGTTTCAGCATCCAAAAGTGCTGGGATTACGGGTGTGAGCCCCGGCACCTGACCTAATTTTTAAATTTTGTATGGGGGGGTTGGTCTCCCTATGTTGCCCTGGCTAGTGTCAAACTCCTGACTTCAAGTGATCCTCCAGCTCGGCCAGCCTCCCAAAGCACTGGAATTAAGGGCATGGGCTACTGTGGCCAGCCCTACTTTATTATTCTTATTATTATTTGAGACAGGCTTGGCTCACCGCAACCTCCACCTACCCAGCTCAAGAAATCCTCCCACCTCAGCTTCCAGAGTAGCTGGGACTACAGGCATATGCCACCAAGCCTGGTTAATTTCTGTATTTTTTTGTGTGGAGACAAGGTAAAGTTGCACCAGGGTGGTCTACAATTGCTGGGCTCAAGGATCCCTCTACCTCAGCCTCCCAAAGTGCTGGGATTAGAGGCATGAGCTACTAACCCTGCCCTAAGTGTATTATTCAGAAAGGAAACACTGTATCTACAGAGAGGCAACATGGTATTGTCAGACCCTGGTCCCAGGCTGCCTGGCTCTGCATCCCAGTTCCTGGGACTCAGTTTTCTCCTCTGAAGAGCGGAGATGATCGCAGGGTAAGGAACGGATAAATTAATGTGTTAAAACTCCAGGACACGGCCTGGCACACAGGAAGCACTCAGTATGGACGAACAATCATTATTCATTCTCACAACAATGCTCTGCATCCGGGTCTTCTGCCCTGAGACACCAATACCTGCTAAGTCTCTCTCTCCTTTCCAATAATCACAAGGCTCGAAGGCAAAACTAAAACCTAAGTGGCCTCCTCTCTCTTTGCTGCTCATCCCACTTGATCAGCCCAGGTGTCTGCAGGCATCACACTGGGGAAACGCAAATGAAGGATCTGAGTGAGCCCCAGTCCCCAACTCACTGCAGATCCTTGGTGTTGATGAGGAACAGGACCAGGAAGCTGCTACTGTTTCTCTGGAGAGGGCAGTCCTGGAAATCCTGCGTCTGCGGGGTGGGCAGGAGGGAGTCTTGGTTACTCCTCCCACGGCCCAGCTCCACCCTGTCTCCCTCCTTGTCCACCCAGGAGCTCTTTCTGCTCCTGCCTCTGAGAGAGAACAGGGGCCTTTGAGTTACAGGTGCAGAAGATGGACACCAACCCCTCCCTCCAGCCCCTTCTCCCTCCTTCCCCATTCCCTCCACTCACTGAGTACGAGTGCACTCTGCCAGATCGAACCCGGCTGAGACTGAACCCCACCTGGTGCGTGGAAAAAACAGGAGGAGAGTGTGAGGGGACGGTAGCGACCTCCCAGTTATCCCTCTCGGTAGCAACAGAAACCTAACCTCACACTGACTGAACGTCCACCATGCGCTAGATCGCACACACTCTTGCTCTTTTTCAGAATCAGGGTGGAAGGTGAACCTCATTCTGTTGCCCAAGCTGGAATACAGTGGCAGGATCATAGCTCACCGCAGCCTCGAACTCCCAGGCATCCTCTCACCTCGGCCTCCCGACTAGCTGGGACTACAGGCACACCTCACCAAACCTCGAGATTTTTTTTTTTTTTTTTTTTTAGATGGAGTCTTGCTGTGGCCCAGGCTGGAGTGCAATGGCACAATCTTGGGTCACTGCAACCTCTGCCTCCCGGGTTCAAGTGATTCTCCTGCTTCAGCCTCCTGAGTAGCTGGGATTACAGGTGCCCACCACCACGCCCGGCTAATTTTTGTATTTTTAGTAGAGATGGGGTTTTGCCATGTTGGCCAGGCTGGTCTCAGACTCCTGACCGGAAGCAATCCACTTGCCTCAGCCTCCCAAAGTGTTGGGATTACAGGCGTGAGCCACCATGCCCGGCTGCCTGGCTAACTTTTAAAACTTCTTGTAGAGGCAGGGTCTAACTATGTTGCCCAGGCTTGTCTCAAACTCCTGGCCTCAAGCAATCCTCCCACCTTGGTCTCCCAAAGTGCTAGGACTACAAAGCATGAGCCACCGCGCCCCACCTGTCCCCTAGCTCTTAAGAAAAGTGCCTAGCACATGCTGTGTAAGACGTTATTATTCCCAGTACAGATGAGGAAACTGAGGCTTTGAGAGATCACGGGATTTGCACAGATCACATGGGTAGAAGCAGAGCTGGGAACCCAGCACCAGGGGGTTGCACCCTGATCTCCTCCAGCAAACTCCTCAAGGCCTCTCACCAGCAGGGACTTCTCTTCTGCCTCCTGGAGGCCCAGCCGTAGGAGGCTCAAGTCCACCTCCAGGGAGCCATTGGTGTAGAAACCGAAGCTGTTCAGCTGGATGTTTGCTCGCTTCTCCCCCTGCCGGAGACCAAGGAGGCAGAGGCAGTTCAAACCGCTTCAGCCTGCCCAGCCCCAGGGACCTGGCTTAACTCACCGTCCCCCCCACCCCCGCCAAAGGTCCTCCTGGTACCCCTCTATTTAGGACAGGCCCAGAAAATGACAAGAGAAAGTTGAGAAGGACTTCCTCCCTGCAGGGAAAGGGTGGCCTTGGATTCTCCTTCTCCGGACCTCTGTTCTGAGGGCCAGGAACAGAGATTCTGGGGCACCTGGAAGTCTCCCCACGGGGGTGAGCACCACCCGCAGAGAAGTTGTTCACCTTGGTGCGCTGGCCTTCACCTCCCGGAAGAATTTCTAGATTGCAGCTGAGCTCCCAGCAGCATTTCAACAGATCCCCCCAAATCCCATTAAGCGGCCAGAGGACTCCACTCCATAGCCTCCCAGGACCCCGCTGTGCAGCTCCAGGTTCCCCAACGCCCCAAAAGTGATTTCAAGAATGTAAAGTACTAAGACCCAGCGTTGGGGGGGGTGTCCCCAAGAGATGGAGCCCCGCCCCCGAAGGGAGGGGCCCGACCCTAGCGAGGCGGCCTGGCAACTCCATCCGGAGAACGGAAGGGGATCCCGGGACTAGACCACTCCGGGCCGGGAAACGGGGGGCGCCGGACCACTCCATCCCGCGTCGGGTACAGGGGAAGCCGGACGAGACCACTCAAAGCCAGGGGCTTTTCCGAGGCAAAGTTGCGCCCACCCCACCCCAGACCCCCGCGCGGCGGGCCTCACCGTCAGCGCCAGCCGGTGGATGCGCCCGGAGCAGCTGCCCAGCAGCAGCAGCAGAAGTAGCCGCTGCCCCGACTCTGCGGGGCTCCCATGGCCGAGCCCCCTCCTCTCGCTCACTGCCATCTCTGGAGCCACCGCCTCCCCGACTCCGCCTCTGGCTCCCAATCCCGCCCACCGATCAGCCAATCGTCTCACGGTGGGGCCCGGCGCTTCGGAGTTTCCAGCCCGCCAGCCAATCAGCAATTGTCTCTCCGCAAGCCAGCCTTCTTACGACATCCGATGGACAGCACCGGTTCCGAATGGGAGTGCCGATGGCGCTTAACCCTCCCCACCCTCACCAATCGCTATAAAGATTGTCCAGGATGTGATTTAATGAGCAGTTTATCTAACCAATTATGATGGAACTGATATCCGGTCTTGAGGCGGAATTTCTCCACCCACTCTTAACGGTCCAGGACTACACTACCCAGAATGCAGCGGAAGCAGACAAGCGCAACAAGGCATTAAATAAACTACATTTCCCAGTACCCCAAAGACGGACTTCCTCTTCTTGCCCTAGGGAAGTGGCTCCCAGCCAGAGCTCAGGCTTTTAGTAAACACACGCATCTGTTTAGGCCTGACCTGTTTTCCTAATCTTCCCGGTCCACAGAGAGGCCTAAAGCTGGCCTCAGGTTAAAGTTTGACCCTAGGATGACCTGTGACCCCAGGCTGAGACCCCAGCCTTAGGCTAAGCCTCCTATTCCAGAGTGAGGCAATTGGAGCCCCACCGCCAGATTCCAGGCTAGACTGGACTTCGGGCTGAACCCAGGTGAACTCCCTCCCTGCAGTTGAGCCCCAGCTTCAGCCTGAAACTCTGACACCCACTCGTCTCCCCCCCCGTCCCCCCACCACATACTGAGGCTTAATCTCTGGTTTAGGCCACCGATCTGGACTAGTCCTGACTCCAGATTGGACCTGAACCCTCGATTGCTAATCTGTCTGGTTAAGCCTCCGACCTCAGTTTGAGACCCAATCCCCACCGTAGTGCTGACCTGGGCTGAACCCTAATTCCAGTTTGAGTCTCTGACCAGAGTTGAGCTCAGAACTTTGCTAGGCTGAGCCCCCATTTCAGACGAACCACTGAACTCACTGCATTCAATTGCCCAACTGCGATCAGACGTTTTCTAGCTCAGAAGCCACCAGCAGGTGGGACCAGGTCCCAGCAGAACTATCAGTCCCAAAGCTCTCCTCCTGGGTTCCCCCGTATCTTTCTGTCCTGGGATCCTGGGTGCTCTGTGTAAGGGGAACATATCCTCAAGGACCCCCCTGCAAGACGCCCCGCCTTCTCTGTAGCTGCAGAGAAAGGGCCAAAGGCTGGAGAGAACGGGGGTGGGAATCCCCGGTGCCTCCTCTCCTCTTTCATCCCAGCACCTCAAAGGGATTTATAAGGTGTGAACAGACTTTTATGGGAGAGGTGACAAATTTCCCTTCCCCTGGGCCCCAGATGTCTGGGGGAGGGGCGGAGTCGGAATCCCAGGGGCAGTACTGAGAATTCAACCAGATTCAACCTCCATGGATGAGACTGGAAAATGGGCAGATGCAGGCGCGAATTGGACCGCAGCTGGGAAAGGGCCTGGGCCTCGCATTCCAAGGACAGCCCGTCCTCAGTTTCCCAGCGGAGTCTCTGGGGGAGGGAAGGCAGGATGCGGTGAGGGAGCTAATGGACCCGGCCTTGGCGGAGGCGCGTCCCGGGCTGGATCGAAGTCCTCATCCGCCCTGTGGCCGGAGGGACCAGACCATTAGTGGGACGAACCTAGACGCCTGGAGCCGGGCCGGCTCGCAAGAACGGGGTGACCTCAGATCCCCCTGCAACGGGGTTGAGGAAGGACTTCTTGGATTTGGAGTTTTCGTGTCTTGGCCCTTTAAGGAATAATTGCGGAGAAAGGGGAAAAGGAGATAGGAAGAACCGTTTGGAGCGGGGAAGGAAGATGGGAGGACGAGAGGGGTCTCGGGGACTTGGAAAAATGGTTGGGGGTTCTTTAAGGGGTCGGTCCAGCGGCATCGAGTGGCACCTTTGCTTTAAAAGGGGGCGGGGGCGTCCGTTGGGCCCCGCCTTCTCGGGGCCCCGCCCCTGAAGCGCAGGGCTTGGGCTCCGCGCGGGCGGGGGCGTGGCAGAGCGTGCAGGGGGGGCGTGGACACGCGTGCAGAGGGGCGTGGAAGAGTCTGGGGTAGGCGGGGCCGGGTGGGGTGGGGCGGGGCCAGGCGCACCGCCCCCGGCAGAATCTCCCCGGGGAGGGCGGCGGGCGGCGGGCGGCGGGCGGCGGGCGGCGGGGACCGGGCGCGGTGGTGGCGGCGGCGGCGGCGGCGGCGGCGGCGGCGGGAGCAGCATGGATTGGGGCACTGAGCTGTGGGTAAGTGCAATCGTCCCGCCTCTAAGTTCCCCCTTGCCGGGGTCCAGGCACCCCCGCTTTTGTCCCCAGCATATCTTAGAGGGGGGCTCCGCGCCTTTCCCTTCCACCGATCCGTGGGTCCCCGCCCTCCACCCTTCGCCCTCTCTCGGAGTTTATCTGAGAGTCTCAGCACGTTCAGGGGCGAAAGGCGACTTTCCCGGACCGGCGTGGGGAAACTGAGGCACAGGGTTGCGAGTCAGAAGGGCAGAAGGAATCCTGGGGCCAGGCCGGGGCGGCTGGGAGAGGTCACCTATTTTGGGCGCCCTGGCGGGGCAGGCGGCTTATCTTACTGCCCCTGGGTCCCTGCCCGTAGTCCTCCTGTCCGGCAGGGAGGGGGGAGGGGACCCTCTGGTCACCCTCATCCCCACCCACGTGGGACCTAGAAGTCCTCTCCGCCCTTTTCCTCGCCTTTAATTAACACCTAGGGGCTGGGGACGCTCCTGGAGGGGAAGGGGGATGCTAAGCTCGGCTTGACCCCTACTCCCTGGCTTCCCCCTGCTCACCCCAGGCCCAGGGCGGGACCGCCCACTGGTCGCCTCTATCCTCAGCCCTGGAAGCCCCAGAAATTTCCCCCTATCCTAGCCGGACCTCTGACCCCTCCCATTCCTGGAGGCGGTGGAATCCCTGAGTTCTTAGTGCCGCGGGGGTAACCAGACTGCCGTCCCCTCCTCTAACTCTGCGATTTCTTTTGGAGGTGTAGTGGGGTCAGTGGGAAAAATTGAGTCACCCACTGGGGGATCACGGGAGGCAGGGAGATTCAGAGAACCTGGTGCCTGCCCCCTGGCCACTCAGGGGCCCTCAGTCTGCGAGGAACCCTTCCCCTCTGGCCTGGACTCAAGCTGGGCCGGCCGGATTTTCCGGAATCCGGGGGGATTAGGGGAGCCTGAGCTGGGGGAGTGGCCCTGCTCCCTTCCACGCCCCTCTTGGCGGTCGTAAGTAGGAGACCCCTATTTCCCGGCCGGGGTGGCTGGGGCCTGGGCGCTGTTCTCCGGCCCTTCCCGGGAAGGCGAGGGGGTTCCCGCCAGTTTCCTGCCTCCCCCCGCGCCACGCCTGGGCGGCGCCGGGAAGCCACTCCTCCTAGGAGCGCAGAGCCTTGGGGCTCCCTGGGAGTCTGGTCGGCGGGCTGTGGGGTCCCAAGATCTTGACCCCCGCCCCTCTCCCCTCCCTCCTCCTCCTCTCACCTCCTCCCCCTCTCCCCTCCTCCCCCACCATGCCCCCTGCCAGGATCAATTCGAGGTGCTCGAGCGCCACACGCAGTGGGGTCTGGACCTGTTGGACAGATACGTAAAGTTCGTGAAAGAACGCACCGAGGTGGAACAAGCTTACGCCAAGCAACTGCGGTGAGACCCTGGAGTGGACGCTACGGGGGCGCGACTGGGGCGAGGGGTAGGATGGGAGGGCTGTGGGCTCAGCCCTCCTCCCTCTGTCTCCCCTTAGGAGCCTGGTGAAAAAATATCTGCCCAAGAGACCTGCCAAGGATGATCCTGAGTCCAAGTAAGGTTGGAGAGGGGCTGCAGGGCTAGATTTGGTGGGGGAGGACGGAGCGTGGGTCTCCTTTCCCCTCGCTCGGCTGGGACACCCACGGCTCATCTCACTTCCTCTCTAGAGGTGAGAGCTTGGATGTTAGATGCAGGATTATCTGGTTGAAATCCTGAGTCCACTACTATGTAGATGAATTGCCTTGGGCTTGTGACTCAGGTTCTCTGCCTCTGTTTTCCTTAATTATTAAATACTGAGGCCCCAACAGTTACCAAACTAGTCACTTCAGGCAGATGACTTTTTTGTTTTGTGCCTCTGTTTTCCTCATCTGTGAAATGGGATGATGATGATTGCTCCAGCTTTGTAGGGCTTGCATGAACACGAGCTGAGTGAATGTGTTAAAACAGTGTGCAGTCCGTATTAAAATAAATGTCGTAAGGAGCATTTGACTTTACTTTGAGTCCCCAGTTCCAAAATCCAAAAAAACTCTGGAAATCAAGTTGTGTTGGTTACTTATTGGGCGGCAATCTCTGACCTGAATTAATTTTTGGGGGGTGGGGGGCACGGAGTCTTGCTCTGTTGCCAGACTGGCATGCAGTGGCGCCATCTCAGCTCCCTGCAACCTCTGCCTCCCCGGGTTCAAGCAGTTCCCCTGCCTCAGCCTCTCGAGTAGCTGGAACTACAGGCGTGCACCATCATGCCGGGCTTTTTCTTTTCTTTCTTTTTCGTATTTTAGTAGAGACGGAGTTTCACCATGTTGGCCAGGATGGTCTCCATCTCCTGACCTTGTGATCCACCTGTCTCGGCTTCCCAAGGTGCTGCGATTACAGGTGTGAGCCACCGCACCTGGCCAATTTATTTATTTATTTTTTAAAGACAGAGTCTCACTCTGTTGCCCAGGCTAGAGTGCAGTGGTGCCATCTCAGCTCACCGCAACCTCTGCCTCCCAGGTTCAAGTGATTCTCCTACCTCAGCCTCCCTAGTAGCTGGGATTACAGGCGCCTGCCACCATGCCCAGTTAATTTTTGTATTTTTAGTAGAGATGGGGTTTCACCATGTCAGCCAGGCTATTAATTATAGTTTTGATTTTTATCCCACTTAATGTGAATGTTAATCCCTCTCATTGTTTTAAAAAAGAAAAACAGATAGGGTGTTTGATTACAGAAAGCTATCCCCAACCCCATAGAGATGATGCATAAAAGATGATATAAGCCTTGTACACCATCTTTAAAAACTGGAAAATTCTGAGTTCCAAAATACAT